TCGGCAGGTTTTGAAGGTCTTCGATGATGATGAGCGGGATGACGACCTTCTCCATGCTGGTGCCCTTCAGGCGAGGCCAAGCGTTCTCGAGCGCGATGTGTACCCGGAGCTCTTGCATTGCTCGGTGCAGGAAGCTCTTGACCGGCTCTTTCATGAAAAGAGCCTTGATGTCCTTCTGCTGCTCGGAGGTGAGGACATCCTTCGTCCCGGTGCTCGGTTTCTGCGTCTTGACCTTGCGTTTGGTTATGGGGTCCGCGTCGTCGATAGTCTGTACAATGAGCTAAGCAACTGGTCAGTCTAGATTCATCAATCGGGCAATGCTTACATCGTCAGCCCCATCGAGTTCATCCAATTCATCCTGGTCACTGCCATCCTCGTGCTCATCGGCGGCCGGCTGGTAAGAGGAACTGTCGTCGCCGGAGTCATCGTCCAAGCTGACGGGTGCCTGGTTTTGACCTCGACCCGACTGGCCTTGTGTCGGCCGTTTACGGCCACGAGGGCTGCCGGTAGAATCTCATGAACGCCTGGTTAGTTAGGCTTTCCAAAGCTGCGAGCATGACAGACTCACCTTCCGCGTCCGACGATGGTATCTCAACAGGATTGACCTTCTTCCTACGAGCCCCTTCACCCATTCCACGCTGCGAGACATACCCGGAAGCGCCACCGGCCTTTGCTCTCGTGGTCTTGGGGCCTGAAGCAGTGTGAGGCTATGCTCAGAACTTCTAAGACTACTTACCTAATCGAGCCACGATGGCTTGCTCCTCCTTGGACAAGCCTTCATGTTGCTTGCGAGCTGCCGAGGGACGGACCTCTCGAGCGTTATCTCCCTCGTCAGGTGATTGCCCTGTACACGCAGTATAGGATGGGTTGTGCGCGTCGGGCAAGTATGCAACGGTGAAACAACTCACTTAGCACTGTCGTGTCTCCCTCCTCTGGTTCGGCTGCTTCAGGTGAATGCGATTCCACCGTTGTATTGCTGATCTTGTGCTTCTTCTTGTCAGGCTCTGTACCCGACTCGTGTTCTGTGTTCTCGTCGGAATCAGCAATGACCTTCCTCTTGCGCGGCTTGGGCTTTGGTCTCGACGTAGAAGAGCGGGGTCCTAGTACAGTTGCATAGTGATCATGGAGGTGACAATGTTAGACTCACGTTCTTTTGCCTTTCCCTTGCTCTTCGGTGAAACAGCATTTTCACTCCCATCTTCGCCCGACCATCAGGAAAAACAGGGTTTGCTTGCCAAGTATGTCAAGACACGAAATGTCTTGAATGCATCAGATTGCTTGACAAGACAAGTCTCTGCGGAAATTCACTTGATGTAGCAGTGACAAACTTGGTCATGCATTCAGTTGCTTTGTCAAATTATACTTGCACGGCGTGCAATATAATGCACCACTAACAGAGGAAGCTTTACATGCCTTCCTGGTCCTGGCAGGCTGTACAAGAGCATCAAATCTTGTCCAGGCCGTGCAAGCATATTTTTGCTTGACCAACACATTGTTTGCGTAATGATTCATTTCACTCCACATAGCACAGTCACTAACGAACAGTCATGATCATAAATATCGTAGAATACATGTACAGACACACAATTACACTGTTACTGACAACACAGAGCAGGGAAGGCTCACGCTACTGAAGACGAATAGCTACCGAACGCGACGAACGCACTGCCGTGCACATATTAGACCTAGAGTTGTTGTAGATATTCTGATTGCAGTAGAGTATCTGTGACGTCATTAGTCAGTTCACAACGGAACACATGCTATGAAGAATCTACCTAGGTCTTCAACGAATGCATCACAATACGCCTACGCCGGTGTGCTGAGCTCAGTCACTTCCAAATAAAATTAGTACTCAAGGATATGCCATGGTGTCATGGCACTCACCTGCCAGCGACACCGTCAGCGTTGCCTCACAGCGAAGTGAGACTTGGAATCCTGATATAAAGTAGTATTACACTACTTACCTATCGTTACGAAAGGGGCCGCCTCACGTTCGCGTTCGCGCTCGCGTTCACGTTCGCGTTCACGTTCACGCTCGCGTTCGCGTTCGCGTTCACGCTCACGTTCAGCTGTGCGATCTACTACCTCTATGTCTTCCCAAGCAACGAACTCTTCGTCGTCGTCAGCCGCCTGCGCATCATCGCCAGCGCCAGAGCCTGAGGTACCGCCTCCCCTCTTGCCTGCGTCTTCGTCCTTCCTGATGAGATCACTGAACAAATATTAGCACTGCTGAGACACAGAGAAATGGCACTTACGATATGTTGGCCCACAGATAACACTTCAGGGCAGCATATGCAGCAGGCACCCTGGCCTTCATACTCGCAAGGACGCCAACAATGTTGGCCCACCTACACGAGCCTTCAGTCACAGTAGTGCCAAGTTTTGGGCCACTCACTTTGGTGCGTAGACCTTGTTCGTAAACTGGTGAGTTCCAGTTGCGACATCTGCTAACGCTGCTTCGATCTGTTACTCATACAATCACTAGTCAATATGATATACAGTAGCACGATATACGTACTTACCGCATTGCACGCCAAGGCGAGCAGGTTATCAGGTACTTCGGCGAACCGACTCTGAGCGTCCTTGACGACGGAGTCGCGTTGGCCTGTGAACCATTGTTCTGCGATGAGCAGGTAGATTGATTTGTGCTGGAAGGGCTGCTTGCGGTTGACTGCGCTCGCCTGCGATGCGTCAGGCATGCAAATCATCCAGTGAGTGGTGAACGCATACGTATACTAGTACTCACCTTCAAGTCGACGTCGTCGCCCGACCAAGCAATGTTGATGTCGTTGAAGATGAAGACGGGCATTGTATGCCTGCCTTGAACGTTGCCCTTGAGGAGGAATGTCGCTGCGGCGACTTTTCACGGGCCCGACAGGTGGCTGAGACCGTATGCGTCGTCAACGATGCTCTTGGCCTTCTTCTTCAGCTCAAAGCGCAACTGAGACGCGGCCGTCCATACCTGTGGCTACTGATCAGTGCAACTATGGGTTGATCAATGAACCACGTACCAAGTCCAACACGGTCTTCCTCAGGTCGTCGTTTTTTTTGTCGTTCAACTGCTTGAACGCAAGCGCGACGTGCGTGAGAGGCTTCCCTTTCTCGTCGAGCTGTTCTCGAACGTCGTTGACCGCCCTCTTGATGAGCACATGCTTCTCAGGTAGGAGGCTGCTATTCTCCATCTTCTCTGACGTCCACGCGTGCTCGAGTGCGATCCGGAGGCGAAGGAACGAGTGAGCTTTGTTAACGACCGACTTGAGATCGTCAGCCAAATCCCTGACCTGTGCTCGACCGCGTGCACGAGCTGTCCGAGTGGTCTTCGATTTGGCTGGCGCAGTCTTCCTCTTCTTCGACTTGACGAACTGTGATTTGTGCGGTTAGAGCGGTATGCACAGATGTGGGTGACGTACCACCACATCATCACCGCTGTCGTCTGGCTCTTCTCCACTGTCCCCGCCGAAATCGTCTGCCCGGTCTGACTCGCTGCCAATCTCATCGTCCTCCGACACCGACGTAGCCAGCCACGCGGGCACCTTATCCTTCTTTTCGCTGGGCTTTGGTTTATTCTGTTGTTTGGCAGAGTTCTGTACGGATGTCGTGGACATGACTCACGTAGTCACGAATACTGGTGAGTCGATACTCACCTTGCGCTGAGGTGATGTGATCTCAACAATCACCTTCCGACGGACCTTAGCTCTGTCTGCTGGCTTGCGACTGTCTGCATCCAATCGAGTGCCGTCCTCATCGCCACTAGGACCGGTCTGGCGCTGCTTGCTCTTGCGATCGGTCTTCTCCCTTGAACGGCCTTTGGCGGCCGGCCCACGTACTACCAGACTCTCCGCAAGACGTCGTTCGTCTTCATCAGACAGGAACACATTCTGCTGATCGTCTGCCATGTCGACATCCTGGTCTGGCGACACATCCCGTGCGGCGGCCTTCCCCTTCCCCTTGACGTTTCGCCGGGCTTCATCTTACCAATGTTAGCAGCACATATAGAAAATCTGAGTGACTACGTACCAACGTGCGAGCGAGTGTTCGGCGGTGTTTGCTCAAGCTCATCCTCTTCCTGTGACCCCTCGTCCTCCTCGTCCTCGTCCTCGTCCTCCTCTGTTCTCGCTGAGTCGTCCTTCACCGTGCCTTCCGTGCCACTCTGCCCTTCGTCGTCCTCCGACTGCACAGTCTTCTTCGACTTCTTGCGCTGGGGCCTCTCCTGCACGTCTTCATCGCTGTTTTGCTCTTGAACGGTCATCGCAGACGCCTCCTTCTGGATCTCTAGCATCGAAAAAAAAATGTAACTGTCAGTGTTTCAACGACGTATGTACTCATGTTACTCGCTTGCACGACGCTGTGCTTCCTTCTGCTTCTCAGACTGACACTTCTTCGATTCGAGCTGCTTCAATAATTGCTCGTCCTTCTTGCTGAAGCCGCCTCCGTCAACAGCGTCACCTTCATCGTCACTCAACCAGCCGCGCTTCTTGCCGCGCTTGGTCGGGGACTTTGGGGTCGATGCCTTCCTGGAAGCTTGAGCGGTCTTGCGCGCCGACTTCTTGGTGGTATCGTCGTCGTCAGCGCCTTGCCCGCGGGTGCTCGATCGAGTACGAGTATTCATGGCCGTGAGCTGTCCAGACACAACAAGCAAGCCAGAGAGGAATGACGGCGAGGTGAGAACAACATCAGATAAGTCCGACTTGAACCACGCCGTGAGACCGGACCTCGACGGCTTCTGGAAGGCTTCATTCAGTCGGCGGCCGTGGTAGCGCGGGCAAACGTGACTTTTGCCGGGCAATGTGCGACGCTCAGGTGCTACAAGACAGCAATGTCCCTTGTAGCTCTTGTATCGTAGCACAAGGCCCTGTGTGCTGGATGATACCGTAGATACATGTCAATATACAAATCAATATTCCCTACACAAAATGACTATGGTCAGACCAGCCGTTACGATTATTTGCCGTCCACTTGGACATCTCCCTGTCCGTATGGAGAACGATGGAAGCTCGGCGTCCAGTGTAAAGCAAATTAAAGTGAGTGAATTCGCAAGACGGGAAAACGACGAAATCTGCATGACGCAGAGGAATTACCAGACCAGCTTCGACAAGGCACAGTTCACCTCCAACGAAATCGCCAATAGGCAGCACGAGACATACTTGATCGTCCTTGCCGTCCCTGTGCGCTCGAGTGACGACGTTCAGGTTGACCACCAGACCTACGAAAGGATGAACTGCCGACGTGTTGTTGTCCGGCAAGAAGGAAGCTGTAGCTTCTAGGCGTTCGAATTCTAGTGGCAGAGTTTCGCGCAGCTACAACCAGTCGAGTTAGACAGTCGTGTTTGATTGAGAACGGAAGTGAGGACATTACCTTGTCGCCTACAAAATTAAAAACAGGTCCCAGTATCTTCTTGATGGCCTCGTATATATCTCGATGTTCTTCCATATCCTTGGACGTATACGGAAGAAATTGATCATGGTTTGTCCTTGAGCAACCCTTGCGACTCATCAAGGACGGCGGTATGTGCGAAGGAGCTGAATGTCCCTATGAAACAGGCCTGATGAGCAATATCAATGCAAGACGCAGACGTCCGTGCTAACCTGGGTACAGTGGCGATTATACCACGAAAAGTGGAGAACCTGAAATGTTTCCCGTCCATCCATCGACTCCGCAACCATCGTCTTGAAAGGGTCCGTTTCAAAGCAGGCAGCGATACCGTCAATTAGATCGCGGCGTAAGACTTCAGGTATCGAAGTCCAAATACACGCGATGAGAGAATTGTCCACGCCGCGAATGGTGAGCGCATCCCTAGTACACCGCACATTGAGCTGTGATGTTGGTCAACACGACCAGAACCCTAGTACTCACTGTATGAGATGCACCGGAACGCGAACGTACGAGTCCACACTGGTTCTCTTGCCTGAAACGTACATCGATTCCAGCTGTGCCAAAGACAGCCGTCAGTGGCAACCACGCAACTGGCTATGACTGTCAACATACCTGGCTCTCAAGATCTTGGATACTGGTCGGCTCGACCGCCTTACTTGCCCGTGACCGCTCATGCTCTGTCCAAGCGATGTTGCTCTCCCTGTCGCGTTCACGGGGGGCAGGATAGTGCTTGTTGATCGGATGTTGCGGGTCATACGAGGTGACGATCACCGGTGTGTTCGGTGAGGCAGAGTGCGGCAGCGGTAGCGGAAGCGGTGGGAGTGATGACAGTGGAGTGAGAGGCGACAATGAACGCACACCGTAGATACGTCTCTGGACGGAGTTGCCATGGCTGGTCCATTGTCTGACTCGGAGACGGTTGGGTGTGTGTGCTCCCCGTAGCATGTAGCCCATATGTTTGGACAACGTGGACCGAGCTTGAAGGAGCTACGAAGTGAGGTCAGTACACGTCACCGATACCGTGATCAGTGCGCATCGCAGGAGGCGTTAACCATGCGCTACTTACTTGTACACAAAAGAATCAAAAAAAAGGTCCGATAGCTTGAGGTTTGCGCAAAGTGCGTTGTTCGCTTCGCCAGTCGGTAGCAAGCACGTCACAGGAAAGAGATTTTGCATTGGGAGTGGGCAGTGTTTCTGAAGGAGGAACACAGCAGGAATGATCGTTTTCTTCACTGCTCGACCGGCTGAGGAGTCTGTGCGTCTGATGAGAAAGGTACAATATTGAACGGTGCTGGATTATTACTTACCGTCTGGCCATCGTAGCATGTTTCCAACATACTGTGCGCTATGACCGTCCATGGATCCCAATTTTCCTCTGAGGTTCCGTATAACAATCAGAATTAGTATATACACGGTGCCTACACGGACCAAAGATTGTTGTCAATTACGTTGTACATATGCGCAGTTGTGCTAGACTTACCACCCCCCGCTACCCGTGCAAACTTGCAGCCCATCGCGTTCCAATTTTCGAAGGTTCTCTGCAGACGGCTGTTTGGGTGTTCGATTGCAGTTGAGACTGCCAGATTGCTTTGATAGTCGGTTTGACTTTCCCAAGACGAAGGCTGGGTAAGCGTTAGGTCAGGTACGCTGCTTAATTCGCTGGCTTGGACGCTGAGAGGTGTACGTACCTGCTAATCTTGGCCGCCAATTGAATGAGTCTCACCATCACCGCAAAGTCTGACGCCGCATTGTGGCGGAATGCTGCAGCACATCGTTCAGTAAGCACACTCAACGATCCTTCCGCCTGTGGAATGCGGGGGCTCAACAGCGACTCTGCTCCGCGTAGCACGTTCTCACACGAACTCAACAGAGCAGCGTCTGTGAGATCAGCGGTGAGATCAGAGAAGAAGTGGGTTACGGTGTTCCTGGACGAGTGTGATGGAGCAGGTAGGGGATCAGTATCCCATAGCAGCTCCGCAGGAGCAGCCGGCGCGTTAGAGAAGTTGATGCCACCGCGAGGGCACGGTGGTAGTCCAAGATGTTGGGGGCCTCTATTGCCAGCAGCTCGCCCAGCTGGGGCACGTTCGGCATGGGAGTACGGCGCAGCCCGATTGCGTGACCGCGTCGAGCGGACGGGACCCACTGTATCAGAGTCAACCGATGTCAGACGAGTTGTGGACCAGTACTGCGTATTATTGCAGGACTCACCGGTGAGTTCCCCTTGAGAATGATCTTTCTGTTGATGTCGACTTTGGGACCTTGTGCGGCAGCCGTAGGCGGTAGACGTGTCGAGCGTCGTTTTCTCTACCATGCCTTTGGACGGCAATACTGTCAAATCTGTCATACACTAGGTCACACTAAACACTTACTTCCGTCGTTGTCAGTATGTACTTCTTGAATACCATTGTCTGAGTCGGGCTGAATCGTGCATTGTGCGGCCGATGCGGTGCTACCTGAGCAGACAAGACGGTTAGAAGGAAGTCAGAGGAAATACTGTATGACTTCGTACCGTCGTTGCTGGTCGAGCATATGTCGGGCAAGTGGTGACTGGCTTGCCAAGGACTGGCAACGTCTGTAGGACCTGTAAGATCCACGTGCTCCAGTCTCGCCAGCAAAGGCCGCAACATATTGCTAAGATCAGGAGTACGTGTTAGTAACTCTACCAAAGCAGTGCATTCTTCTTCTGTGAGGATCACTCTTGACTGCATCCTTGACGAGAGCAGCTGGAGCGCGACAGGGACTCTGTGGCAGGCAGCGGTATGCGAGCGTTACGAAGTTGCAGTGAACGGGCCTGCGGAGAGCGATCGGAACATTCTGACCGAAGATGCGCCGAGACATCGATTTCTCTCTTAACGATAACAACTGTATTAATATTCTATATTGTACTAGACTACGGTTTGTACACACAGACCCTTCTTTCTGACAAAGAACGACACAGGGGGTAAGGACAGCACACGAAAACGAAAGTCTGACATTGCTAGATGGGGGTGTGTACGACAAACGACCCGCGTGTAGCTCTGGCGACCCGTGTACCCGTACCCGCTGCGAACGTCGACGTCAGCGACGATGCCTAGGTCGTTGAGCTTCTGTACGATCTCAGCCGCATAATCTTTCTGGACGGAAGATGAGCAAAGACGTGGTGCAAACACTAGTGTGCTAGCTCACGACGGGTTTGCGACCCGGACAACCAACACTTGCCGCGGCGACAACTGGAACGGCCACTTCCCAGAAAAGTGTTCCGTGATGTCGATATTGGGCCCGTAGAACGCCCCCGAGACGATGCGGTGAGCTGCCCAGGAAGGGGACGTGGGCGCGCCAGACAGGAGAGACAGCGTGGCATGCGCGCGAGGGCGCAGATGGAGACAGACGCGATTGGCGATCGCCGCCGCGCCTAACGATGCGACGAAGGTGGCGGGATGGACGGCGGCAGGGCGACGACGGAAGACGAGGATGAGCGCGAGCGGGATGGACGGCGGCAGGAGGTGGCGGCCACAAATGACGCGAGCGGGCGACGGGAGGCGAGCGGGCAGGGAGGCGTGGAAGGGTAGGGTGGCGCACGGCGCGAGGTGACGCGGCGACGCGGCGACGCGAGCGGGCGACGAGGCGACAGGAGGGGTGGCGCGGGCACAGCAGGACGGTTGCGGCGAAGCGGCTCTCGTAGAAGAAGCCGTCTTCTGTCGCGGGCCCATGCGCAGATGGCAGCCATACTGACGTTCCGCGGCCTCGCCAATGACGTGCGCAGACGAATGCCAGAAGACGCGTTGGCCTACAGTCCGTCGTTACTTGTGATCGCGCGAAGCCACCGTAGTGGCGCTCACCTTCCCGGTGCTCGAAGTCAAGGGGCTCAAGAGTGCACGAGCCTTCGAGCGGCGCTCCAGGTCCCACACGTCGCCGTTGACCTATCACAGTTCAGCACGAGCGACCCGAGGTGGACAAACGGTCGGAACCTTCGCAATCACGACGCGATCCACGAGACCTTTGGAGATCTCCTTCGCGATGTCCAGTGGGCTTGTCTCCCAGCTCATGCCCTTGCGTTTTGAGCCGTCGGGCATCGTGATATCGACCTCTTGACGTGGTTGCGCTGTACCGAAGCATGAGAGGAAGCCGTCCGACAATGACTCAAGATTTGAACGCACATTTGACCCGTGCGTCGTACTCCGCCTTCAACGCGTCGACCATTTTGATGCGATGGTCAAAATACTCTGGCCGCGGGCTCAGCTGCGTAGGTTCAGTAAGCATGCCCAGACAATACGTGAAGACGTTGTACCTCCAGTGATTGACCACTCGCTGCCGCTGCTTTCTCCTTCTTCTCTTTGGGTTTCTTCCCTTCATTCTGGCCCAGATGAGGCCCTTCAAGTGCGGGCCGTTGGGCAGGCTGCGAAGCGGACGCGATCGGCTGTGTCATACTCGACTGAGGCGAACTCCTGTGTTTGACAATGCGAGGAAGTGAGTGGAGGTGTGGACCGTGACGGGCAGGGCAAGAGGCAACTCGACGGCACGGGATGAGCGGACAGGTTGCTTACCGGCGTAAAACACGATGCGCCTGTGTTGCTGGGTCTTGAAGCTTGACGGTCAGGTTGGGCGCTATACCCCGCGCGCCCCGATCGGGATCTGGACGCGTGCGCCACGGTGCGCGTCCGCGTCCTCGAAGTCGCGTCGCAAACTCACTGTCCTGCTCCTTGGAATCCACAGTTCGGCCGCTTCAGTTCGGCCGCTTCACCGCTCCATCTCACGTCCTTGCACACGAGCTATGCCAGCTCAGAAACGCCCCCAACGCCCCCAGCCAGTTGACGACGAGGTCCAATACGTCGGATTCTACCGCGCCGACATCAATAAGAGCGCGGTCCACGCTGCCAAGCTCGAGGAGGACGGGCTAGTCTACTGCGGCTACCTCAACACGGAGGACTATTCAAACTGCCCCCTGCCATCTTCCTTCCTTCGTGCGCGTCGTGCGCGCGAACGTGTCGTTATAGACCTGGTGTCTTCAGACGACGAAGACGAGCACGCACCTGGGGGTGTGCCCATGCAGGCAACAGCGGTGTCCAGTTCGACGGCGGCGTCCACGGAGGGTCCAGTTCAACGGCGCCATCAGAGGATGTGAGTGGATCATACCTCACACCCCATACTTACTAACAATCACGCACTCAAGCCTACTCCGCGCTCTACCGTGCCAAACGTGCGAGTACCGGAGAGTTCGCGATCCCCCCGAAGGCCAAACGGCGCAAGAAGGGGGAAACACGCCCGACACGACCACGACCGCGGCGATCGCGCAAAGGACCTGTTCAACGCGAGCCCTCGACCTCACCGGCATGAAGTCGTCCACGGGCGCGGGCGTAGGGGACCGGGGTCTGTGACGACGAGAGGGCGACGGGGTGGCGCGACACGCTGTTACGATACAATCCACTTCGTGAGCGTAATCGAATAGAATTGACTGCCTGCATCGTACAAAGGGCCTGAGTAGTGATGACATACGTGCGACGCGAGGTAAGGGGACGATGATAGACTTATACGAGTTACGCTATGAGTTGAACCAGTCAAGATTTGCCTCAAGTACGCGAACGCGAACGCGAACCCCTGCCACGACGAGAGATACTTCGAGGGGGCACGTACTCGTCGTTGGCGCCGTCGTCCTCTACGACGTGCTTGTCCTCGTACGCCTTATCCGACGCAGTGGGGCTAATCTGCAGCTCCTTCGGAGCACGCACGCGCGGCGGCGGGGTAACGAGGCGAACTCTCTTGCGGTAATCCGCGACGCGAGCGTTGTCCGGGTCGCCGTCCAACTCGTCGTCCGGTTGTCCTGGTTAACAGCGATCTTCTGTACCTTTTCAGCAGACGTCGCCACGTCTATGATATAAGCAATTTCAGCGTCGCTCTCCTTCTGGTGCATCTCCTCGTCTCGCTTTCGCTTCGTCCCCGCCCCCATCTCGACGGTCTTCCTCAAATTGAGGTTGGCGAAGCTGTCTCGCGCTTTGACGAGGGCGGCGACACGGATCCCCTCGACAAAGGCCGGTATGGGGTTCTCGACGAGGGGCGTCGTCAGGTTGAGTTGACGAGTGGCAACCAGGCGCGTCTTGACCTCGCTCAATGAATGGCTGTCACCCTTCAGCAAAGCCTCTTGTATCCAAGCGTGACAGCGCTGGACGTTGGCCGTAGAACGAGCCATACGAACGCCTGTCGCCCAGCGCTCCACCACCGCCTCCATCGCTCCTCGCACTACTTCGTCAGGGAGCGCCAGATCGACAT